TAGACTGGAAAGCTGCATGCGTCACCTTTTCCGAAATCGATCTTAAGTGCGAGGCGTTGTGGCTCAGACCAAGGTTGAAGACTAGAGCAAAGATTCGTGCCTCTGGGGAAAATTTAGCCTCCCATTTACGTTCATGAAGACCTGAAAATCATTACATTGGGAAAAATATGACAAACAAAGATATCGTTTAATTATGTGATAGATACCATAATTAATGACAACATAATGATATGGCAATACTCTTTGCCCCAGGGTATAATGTCACACCAGTAGTTGGGTGCTTTTAATGCGTGACGTTCTCGTTACCTTGAATAAAGGGATGAGAAGGGAACATTGTATCAGTTTTTACTCTTATATGCTGTATGCCATAGCTATTTGGGATAGCGCTAAGATTCTGATATCTGCAGACAGTTATTACCTTCAGGAACATACGCAGTGACAAAGGTCTGGAAGTCACCTCTACAGCTTTTGGTAAATGGTCTCCGAATGAACTCCTTTCAAGTGATTCAACCTACCCCGCCCTGAGATAAATTGTATCACATGGTGGGGAAAGTTGCATTTTTGTTATTTTTAGCACGGAGTACGGTGCAATGCGAGCAAGCTGACCGTGTTACGATTTGAAAACGAGAGTTGCTTTGATAGGAATATGGATCTTCATAGGCCTTGTAAATGCCGGCTTATTGTCTGGACGACAGTAAATAATGGCGATTACGTTAGCCAATCATCGGCGATAAATCGGCCAATAGCATCAGTGTCGGTACACTGTATCACTGATGCAATCCCCTATGCACAAGTGATGCAACATCCGGGGCCCGACATCTTGGAAGAAAGCTCACGCCACCCCGAAATCCTTGGCAAGCAGGTGCCCAATGTTTTGCGTCAAATACGGCACATTTACATCCTGCCACCCAGTAAAGCATTCAAGTCTGGTTATGCCGTCAGACCTTAAACACACATTTCCACCAATCACCAAAGCTTTCAGCGATATGCAGAAAACATATTTATCGCCCTGATCCCAAAACGCGCGCGTACGCAGCCGTAGGTTGCTCTGCTTTGTGCCAGCCGAGGGACTCGGTACCTGTCTCTGTCTCGCGCTTTCGGACACGATGCAACCTACCGCACTCTCTCCTTTATACATTTTCAACTCCAATTATGAACAAAGCGCCCGCACCGAATTATTTTAATGGGCTTAAAAGAGAAATAGGTCCAATGAAAAAAAGCAGACTAGTCGAAGGTACTAAACCAATGTGGAACTCCAATTGTTGGCATATCGTAGGCACCAAGTTATCTTTATGGAATAGAAGCATCAATGAGTCCAATGAACAAAAATATAATTGGTCGGAGTCACTAAAAGAATGCTGCCCCGACATAGCCCCGGCAACAAGCAGCACGGACCGTGACAGCACAGCCCAATAGCAATGTTTCAGCCACGCCTACAGAATCCAAGCGCAACGTTATTTGCGATTCTTCTGTCAATGACCGCGAATCAGGCAGCCCCATGCATCTCATAGCATAATCACGTCACCAAGAAGCAGCAAACGAAAGCGACAGATAGGACAGATCACTACTTAAAAGACCGTACACCCCTAAAGTACCAAACATCCTTGTGTCATCTCCTCGTGCACCAGGACGCTGCCAATGCGGCATACTACCAGCAGCATATCCCTATTCACATGGGATCTGTGGTTTTCTGATATCCACAGGCTTGAGCTCTACACTCAGTGATCACTAACGTTTCACGACAGCTGGCACTGACCTCCCCTACCAGCTCATAGAGCCTCTGATCGGTTTACGGCACCACATTTGGCTATTCCAAAACGGTCTGGTGAAGCTTAACCCCAAAAGTGTGAAGTGTTCGTAAGAAGCACCATCATATCTATCGTCATCATATCATCATCATATCATCATATCATCACATTTCTCTATTCATTAGAGCTTATCAAGTGGGAACAATCATGGGCTGTGGAAGTCGTATGGCAGATATGGCCCTGAGCGCACCGTCAATGAAACTGTCACGGTTTTAACACCTTTTCTGTTGGGTTGCCTCTCACCCCTGGAAGAAAACTGCACCATCTGAGTTTCCCATGCTAAGCTACAGCTCGTGTCTGACGTACACCCAGGGGTGTAGTTTCGTATGGAGTTGGAAGGGCGCCAGCACCTCTCCTCCGTCCCCATCCCTGCCATCAGCCCCGACAACTTCCAAATGGCAGTAGGCTAAATCAGTGGCGCAGTTGGGTTTTGCTTGCAAGTAGGATAGTTTCGATCACCTCCAGCTGGCTCAGTCACCAACCGATTGCACACAACTAGGGCCCGGCACTAGGCCTGCCCCATGCCGGGCGTGCTGTGTCACCTCAGTGACCCGCGTGCTCTTTATTGCAGCACACAACCCAAGACGCTCGCCGAGCTGGTCAAGCAGCGGCGCCAGGGCATCGCCGCGCCGGCCGAGACGGAGCGCACGCGCTGGGGCCGATTCGACGAGAACAAGCGCGCCCAAGCTGACCAGGAGCGGAGAGAGCAGGCAGAGCGGGCCGCGCGGGAGCGCCGAGAGCAGGAGGAGCGCGAGCGGGAGGAGGCGCGCCGCCGCGAGGACGAGAGGAGAGAGCAGGATCGGCGGGAGGAGGAGTGGCGAGAGCAGCAGCGAAGGGAGGACGAACGGAGGGAGGAGGAGCGGAGAGAGAGGGAGAGAAGGGAGGAAGAGGAGCGGCGCCGCGAAGAAGACCGGCGAAGGGAGGAGGAGGAGGAGAGGAGGAGGGACGAAGAGAGGAGGGAAAGAGAGAGAAGAGAGGAGGAGGAGCGCAGGGCAGAGGAAGAAAGGCGGGCTAAAAGGGACGAAAGGGTGCGGGCGAGAGAAGCAAAGCGAAGGGAAGAGGAAGAAAGAAGGCAGGAGGAGCAGCGTAAATGGCAAGAAGCCAGAAATCAGTCCAACGTCTCAAAAAGGGTTAACAGAGATGATATGCTCAAGTCTACTGAGTTCAAGAATTTCTCGCACTGGTTGAAAAATGGGAAGCGTGATGATATGGAAGAAGCTCAAGACATAATGTTTCCGAGTGGATATTGGGACTGAAGTCCCTGCTGAGGTAGCCAAGGGCGGATCCAGAACGCCGTCTTGGGGAAGGCAACGTCAGTTTGAGGGAAAAGGCGTGACCTGAATGCTACCCCTCCCCTGGATCCGCCCTAGGAGGTGGCTCACTAGTGGACAACAGTGAACAGTTGCTTACTTCACCTTGATTTCGTTTTCACCCAGTGGTGACTTTCCTTCCATAACGGCGCTTTAATCTGCCGCCACTGGACGCAGCTGCAGAGCTGTGCCATTGGGTCGCGAGCTGCGCTCCGACGAAGCTGAACGTGCCCGTCGCGTGCCGAGCCGCCTTATACGCTGGGGGTGAGGTACAGCTGAAAGGCGTTTCAATGAGCCGCAGCACGCCACAGCGCGTTAGTGAGGGCGGTTTGGCCGGCTGTCCCTCGAACGTCGCAGCCCCCGGCACAGCTGGCTGCCACGCGGGGCCCGCCCGCCGGCAGCTGAAAACGCCCCGACGGCCGGGCGCGGTCGGCGCTGATGTCCCGGCGTGCAAATTACCAGCGACGGGCGGCGGCGTCCGCCGGCGGCGCCGCCCAACTCGACGTGAGTGGGCTCAGACGAGCTCTGCCGGAGTCGATCAGCGCTCGGCGGGGTGGCGACGCTGCGTGGCGCGGGGTCGCTGCAGCGGCCCGCGGGCCGGGTCGGCGGGCCCCGCCAAAGAGGGAGTGCGGCGAACGCCTGACATCACGCGGGGCACGTGGCCGCGGGCGGGCGGGCTGGCGCGTATCGACGCGCGCGGGAAGTTTTGTCATTGGTGGAGTGCTGTGTCCGTAGTGAAACGGAACTTTTGTGCTGCATTGGGCAGTCAATTCGTATATATGAAGACAGAAGTTCGTTTCAAGAGGAGCAAACGCGGCAATTGCAGGCTTTGTTTGCTGCTGCCGTTACCTATCTTCACCTCGCCATCGAAGACCCCAAACTGTCAACGAAGGCTCAGTGGCCGAGCTCAGACCGGCAAGGAAGGGCGGTGATGTTGACACTGAAGAGGCGTCGCCAGTGGTTTCGCGGCCCGCTCCAGTGCGCGCCTCCAGTCCCACTTTCCAGCCGCGCTGCGCCCTTTTGTCTAAACGGGCGAGGGGCGCCAAAACCGGTTTCCGATTGCAATGCTCACTGTGCATGAGCCGACACGACCCTGGTTTATAGGCCGCTTGTAAGCTGGTCGTCGTGTTTGTCGCCAATGAGCTCGTTACGCTCCAGGTCAGAAGCCAACCGGGAGCGTGGATGACCGGCCAGGCCTGGCCACGAGGCAGCGCCAACCGAGCCCCACTCTACCGCTCTGTATGGTTGCTGTGATACCGCTGAGGCACGTCCACGCCGTCCTGCGAGGACGGCGACGGACGGCTCTCCGTCGCCCCTCTAGCACCGCTAGCCGGTCGGAGGCCTGTGTCGACGCGCGTGGCTGGCTGCAGCCTGCAGTGTGGACTGAACCGTGCGTCTGTGTGGCTGGACGACTTGGTCTGCCCAGTCCTTCAGCCGTTTGTGTCTCGTTAAACGGGAGTGGCGGCTGCACGCCCGTGCCGGTGAAGGCGAGCGCTCGACGACTTAGTCGGCCCAGTCCTTCAGCCGTATGTGTCTCGTTAAACGGGAGTGGCGGCTGCACGCCCGTGCCGGTGAAGGTGGGCGCCCGACCTCGGCTCGAGTCGGCACCGTTGTTTGGTTTGTGCAAGGCAGCGGCTTTGCTCGTTGGATCGTGAGGGCTTGGCTCTGCCTGTGCGGGGATGTCGCACCCTACAGCTGCGCAGCGCTGTCTCGCAAGGCTGCCGCCCGCATGGTACTTCGGTAAAGCCGTCACTGACGGCCGCTTGCTGGTGGCTGTTGAATAACTGGGCGGATCCGGTCGTGGAAACTGCTGTTTATTTTCTGAACAGATAGGCAGGCCTTTCGCGAGGCAGGCATAGAAAGAGGCTACTGCAAACGTTTGTCACGAATACATTTATTTGCGTTTTTATTGACATGCTGGCATCCAATAACGGGACAGATGGCGACTACATCATGCTCGGTTACCACCAGATATTGACAGAGAGCTACCTTTTAGATACGTTGATTGCTTCGCAGCTTAAAAACACGGCGACCAGTTAAATAATTTATTAAAATACATTCTCCCTATCTATCAACAGTTCAGTCTAGCTGCGAATTAACCACGCGACGAGAGCGAACATCAAGATCGGTACACTATCAAAATCGTTAGCAAAATTATCTGGGAAACCAGCAACAGCTGTCTGCAAGCTACCAGTTTACACGCTAGCTACATACAGATAATCCACGGCGTTACAGCTCCGTTTCTCTGACAGTGGGGACCATCGGTGACGTCCCGCGGGTGACCGACGGAGGCAGGGCACGACGCACGAGCGCCACGGACAACAATCGACGACGTTAAGGCACGGACGATAAATACGATTTGGCGGTGGCGCTGGCCTCTACGGGCGTCACCGTAGAGAGGCAGTCGTTCGGTACAGTACACAGAATCTCGCGGGGCGGACGCGCGGTGGCGCGGGGAGCGCGGCTGTGCAGTCTAGAACGCGGCCGGGTGGCCGGGGCGGCAAGCAGGCGGCTCCGGGGAGCGCTCCGGCACGTCAGCTGTCCCTCCGCAGGCGGCGGCGGCGGCAGCGGCGGCAGCGGCGGCTGCGCGGCCGCTTCCCCCCTCGGCGGTCATTGGTAGATCATGACCAGCTGCTTGGCGCCCTTGGCCACCTCGAAGGCCATCTGGATGACCTGCTGAGTGATGGCGCGCGCGTCGCTGGCCGAGGGGCACGGCGTGGAGGCCAGCAGGTTGGCCGCCTCGTGCTGCAGCCGCCAGGCCGAGGTGCTGAGCAGCTGCACCGACTCCAGCGCCCGCTCGTCACAGCCCGACTGATGGCACACACGGACGCAGGAGCACGTCAGCAGACAGCAGCTGGACCGAGCACGCCCTCCTCGCGGTCAGGCGGGCACTGACACAGGGACGGACGGACGGACGCAGGAGAATGTCAGCAGACAGCAGCCGGACCGAGCACGCCCTCCTCACGGTCAGGCGGGCACTGACACAGGGACGGACGGACGGACGCAGGAGAATGTCAGCAGACAGCAGCTGGACCGAGCACGTCCCCCTCGCGGTCAGGCGGGCACTGACACAGGGACGGACGGACGGACGCAGGAGAATGTCAGCAGACAGCAGCCGGACCGAGCACGTCCCCCTCGCGGTCAGGCGGGCACTGACACAGGGACGGACGGACGGACGCAGGAGAATGTCAGCAGACAGCAGCCGGACCGAGCACGCCCTCCTCACGGTCAGGCGGGCACTGTTGTCAGCCATTAGATGACGCAGTCCAGCCACTGATACCAGCGGTGATGATTTGGGCTTCAGGGCGCGCCGACTACCCTGGTCATACGGCGCACATCACTGCCACCAGCGTCACCTGGCAGAGCGCGATCGGCACACCGTGCTTCGCAGCACCTCTTTCAGTAGCCGGTGCAGCGCCGGACTCGCTCCCGCGCGCAGCGCACTGAATGGCCGCATCGCTCGGTGGGGGAGGGCCGGGTCAACTAGCCTGGTCAGGCGGAGCACGGGAAGCGGTACCAACGGCGGGCCCAGGCCGTGAGTGGTGCCACTAACGACACGTCCAGACGGACGACCCAGACATGGAGCAAACGGCCGGCGCTCGATCCTGCAGCCTGCACAGGACTTTCTGCCTACTGACCTGCCGCCGGATTTTTGAGGGCACAGCCGGCGTCAGCTATTGGACGTAACTACGTCCCGGTCATTTCGCTGCCGTACAACGGTTATTCTTGGGGCGGGGGCCTACGCACACAATGCGTGACATGCGTGAGCTGGTTCGCATCCCTGGTATCCGACTCTTTACTGATACCGACTTGACACATCGAATGTGCCACCAACCGGAGGGTACTAATGGCGTATGATTCACTGCGCCATAGACAGCGTGAAACTGTTTTCAGCATACAAAGTGTCTGACATGATTGTTTAAATTGTAACAAAAACACATGTGACCAAACACGTGCCAATAGCTGCAATTTAGATGACCCAAACACACCATAATGAGCAGCAACCTTTCGACTTTAAAGCCATATACGGGTTACAATCCTTCCTTCAGGCCCCTGCTATCCATTCAACGGCCATGGATAACTTTCTTCCACTGACGTCACTAACTCCTGTCCAATCAAACGAATCCTGAGCACCTCGTGACATAGCTCACAAGCCGACCTACGAGCAACGGCGGTCTCACCCGGTGCACGCCGATTAAGTCGCGTGACCACGTCACTTGGCGGTCTTGCTACCGGATGACCGCACCCAGCGTACAGGGCATTTCTTTCCTCCAAACACAATTTCAAAAGCCCGCACGTACGCCTCAGCATTGCTAGTTACTATCATTCGACAGGTAACATGTCCAAGTCAACTTGGACATGTTACCTGTCGAACAACTTTTTTTTTAACAACTTTTCAAAATATATAATGGGCAGCCCTTTACATTGGAACCGATCCGAACGACAAGAACAGAATGGCCTACACATTCACTCAATTCCATAGAGTGGACACGTCATGCTCATGCTGCAATGGCGACAAAACCGCACGCACACTTAGCCAACCAATGCAACGAACTGCCGCGATTTACTATTTGCTTAGTTTCAGATGTCTGACATTGAGTGATCCATTACTGTTGGTCTCGGCGCAATCTCGTTAGTTGAAATAAGCTCGATGCGAAACCTCATGTATAATTCGGTATACAGGGCATTTGCATGTCACTGCACAACATGCTCCCCAAAAATGTGCGTCAGATGGACGTAGGCCGGCCTCTCCAAGATCCTCATTGAGCCAATACCTGACTGGTCTCTTGCTCTGGTCGACTCAAAATGCACAGCGCCCAACGTGGGGCTCGAACCCACGACCCTGGGATTAAGAGTCCCATGCTCTACCGACTGAGCTAGCCGGGCGGTGAAGGCTGCCCAGACGGCGTTTTTGCCGGCACCGAGACGCAGGGTGTGGTCTCGGACTCTGTGTGTGGCGCCGGGACGCCGGTGTGGTTTCGGACTCCATATATGGTGCCGGGACGCAGGGTGCAGTCTCGGACTCTGTGTGTGGCGCCGGGACGCAGGGTGTAGTCTCGGGCTCCGTATATGGTGCCGGGACGCAGGGTGCGGTCTCGGACTCCGTGTGTGGCGCCGGGACGCAGGGTGTAGTCTCGGGCTCCGTATATGGTGCCGGGACGCAGGGTGTGGTCTCGGACTCCGTATATGAGTCTCCGTATCCGAACGACAAGAACAGAATGGCCTAGACCTTCACTCAATTCTATAAAGTGGACACGTCATGCTCATGCTGCAATGGCGACAAAACCGCACGCACACTTAGCCAACCAATGCAAAGAACTGCCGCGATTAACTATTTATGTTTAGCTTCAAATGTCTGACATTGAGTGATTCATTACTGTTGGTCTCGGCGCAATTTCGTTAGTTGAAATAAGCTCGATGCGAAACCTCATGTATAATTCGGGATGCAAGGCATTGACATGCCACAACATGCTCCCCAAAAATGCGCGTCAGATGGACGTAGGCCGGTCTCTCCAAGATCCTCATTGAACCAATACCTGACTGGTCTCTTGCTCTAGTCGACTCAAAACCCACAGCGCCCAACGTGGGGCTCGAACCCACGACCCCGGGATTAAGAGTCCCATGCTCTACCGACTGGGCTAGCCGGGCAGTGCATGGTGCCCAGACGGCGTTTTTGTCGGCGGCGGGACGCAGGGTGTGGTCTCGGACTCTGTGTGTGGTGCCGGGACGCAGGGTGTGGTCTCGGACTTTGTGTGTGGCGGCGGGACGCAGGGTGTGGTCTCGGACTTTGTGTGTGGCGCCGACTGGCTCTCTGGGTGGTGCGTCCGGGACTGTTATGTGGTGTGGTGCAGACTCTTTGTTCGGACGCAGGTGGGTCTCGGACTCTGTGTGTGGTGCCGGGACGCAGGGTGTGGTCTCGGACTCTGTGCTGTCCGGGAAGCAGGTTTGGTTCGGACTGTTTGTGCCGGGACGCAGGGTGTGGTCTCGGACTCTGTGAACTTGGCAGTCCGGATATGGCAGTCTGCCAAGCCGCCTCCGCCGGACCGTTCGTCATTGTAGGATTAAGGCGCCTGACGATATCGCCCACATCTACGGCGACCCTGAAGCGCGCGCATCTGTTTGGATGAAGCCGTCGCTGTCAGCTATCGACTGGCCGAGCACGTCCTCGCCAGATTTACTCGGTTTACGCTAGTCAAGTTTACGTAGGCGGGAGCAAAAGACTACTCGGTTATCGGCTTAAGAAACATCTTGACCACTTCCGTAGACTTGACACGCCTTTGGGCGAGCATGTCTTGCACTGAGTGACACACTGTACAGATTCACCAATGACGCCATTTGGCGTGGGTTTTTTCGCTAGCTTTCCAATGCCGCGTTTGCTTGGCGTTAGAGCTTTTAGTTCTTAAGAAACTTCTGTGAGCCCGTGAGGCTTCTAGAGGATAAGAGCCAGGTCCGTGTGGCGAGGACTGACTCTGGCCGTCGATGTCAGTGACAGTGGCTGCTTCATCCACACAGAGATACGCGCCGTAGGTCGCCGTAGAAACAAGCGATATGGAGACGCCTCTGTTGCGCAACGCCGCACAATCCGGCGGAGGCGGCCAGGAGTGATGCAAGGTTCACAGAGTCCAAGATCAGAGCCTGTGCCCCTGCTCCGACGAAAACGCTGTACGGCCCGCACTCGCCGCCCGGCTAGCTCAGTCGGTAGAGCATGGGACTCTTAATCCCAGGGTCGTGGGTTCGAGCCCCACGTTGGGCGAGACACGTTTTCAGTCGGGCTCGATTGAGGCATCAACCAGCTACATCTCGCACCCTAGCGAAGAAATAAGCACGCCATGAACAATCCAATCGCGTACGCAGCGCTGCTGCAGTTGTCTGTCTGTAACGTGTGTCTGCTGCGCTTTCCGTCTGTAACGGAAAAAGCCGAAAAGCCGCGAGGTCTCAGAAATTAAACGTTCGCCACACAAAATGATCGCGACAACCCAAGGCGTGGCATTGCCCCAAAAGCCCTCAAATATGGAACGCAAGGCGCGGCAATGCATTAAATACGGAACACAAGCCGACGCCCACGAATCAAGTAACATTGATACATTGACCATTATACATATACATAAACATCGACCTGCATTGATAGCCACGAGCCGACACCAGTTTGTGGAACCGTGAAGCATCGACCGCACGCCCCCCCCCCCCCATTCAAAGTCGTAGTAGTGGACCCCCGGGGGTTGGAACGAGCCACCGCGCACCTTTATTCAAGCCGCAAGGCGAGCCCCTGGGAGTTACACTGACCCGTCACAATTCATTCATCAGCAGCAGCAGACGACGTGGTAGGCAGACTGATCGATTCATTTAGAACTGCAGCGATACGGGAAGAGCGCCTGCCAATGGCTGTGTGGCAGACGCGGCAATAGAGCATAATGTAGCCTGTGCTCCTTTAGCTTAAACCATCCGGATATTTCCGGAATGGCTCCCGAACGGTGCAGCATGGCGACGCCAGACGTTCTGCAATTGTGGACAATCGAGTAGCCGATCTTTAGGCATGCAAACATTTGTAAACCTCTTAAGGTCACTAACCTGTCGCGAGTCAACATCAGGCCATCAATGCTAGCCGCGGTGTTTCTTAAGGTATTCCAAATTGGTCTGACGATGGAGCATAAAGCGATGTCATAGGCCTTTTAAAGATCGTTTCTTAAGAACATGGACAAACGAAATTATGACCACAGTTAATCTAACCTCAATAACTAGTCTAATTAGTCCAACTAGCCTAAAACTCAAGGCCAAAGCACTTTTTATTGAAAATCTCGCAGATAGGGAATGCTTTACACTTGAAGATATTGAAGCAAACATCAAATATGGTGAAACAAGCTCACTTATCACTATTGATATACATTTTAAGTGGAAAACACAGCTCTAGACAGCACAACTCTCTGTTTAGCAAATATGCTCCCCACTGCGTCATGGTTCCATTACGTCATCGTATCGCACCTTGCCGAACATTGGTTGAAAACCAATTGACGGCCGTTATATCTGGAAATCGTGCTCACGAACGCAAGATATAGACGCATCGACAATTGTTTCTCTTGGGCTTGATCGCCGCATGCCTTATGGAATGGCAGGATTCAAGTGACGTTGCTGTGAAGTCATGAAAGTCAAGGTGACTTTGAAAGAGGCCCCCACTGAGCGGCATGGCGCTCGCTTAGCACTACGTTGCACCACCACCGCGGGCGAGTCCAGAGCACGGCGGCGGGGGGGGGGGGGGGAGCGGCCATGTTGTGACACAGCTCAAGTGCAAAGCGCTCCAACGCTTGACTGCACGGGTCGCCACCCGCCAGCGAGACACCAGACGGCCCTGCCCAGCCAGCCAGTCACCAGACGGCCCTGCCCAGCCAGCGAGTCACCCGAGGACCCTGCCCAGCCAGCGAGTCACCCAACGGCCCTGCCCAGCCAGCGTGCCATCAGACGGCCCTGCCGAACCAGCAAGTCCAGCGGTCCAGGGGAAGAGGACGCTGGACGGACCAGCCTCTGACTCAAGGCGGAGGCCTAGACAGCGAGCGGGCAACTGACGTACCTGGACCACGAGCACATCTCCACTGAATATTTCAGACAGCCGTCTACAGCAAGTTCAAGGACGAAGCAAGCCAACAATCTGCGAGCGAAACTGCGTCAACGGCATCAGCACCTGAACACCCCATAACACTATTCAACCACCACGTATTTACGAAATTCAAGCGCACAATGCAACTTGAATTACGCTGTTGAAAAAGGGTGCGCCCTTACAGCTAGGCAACCGGTCTCGGCATACGAAAGTTATGAAGAGCACCGACTGTAAGTGAACGCTGGCAAAAAAACGCGCTTGATCGATACCGGGCACGGCGTCGCGGCGGGTCCGGAACAACACTCCCCCTCCCCGAGACCTGCGCAATAGCCGCCTGACATACACACGGCCTCAGGCTACTATCGCATGCATCAGAAAAGCATCAGCAGAACAGTATGATCGGGACAAGTTGGACACCTCATCCCACCTGCGCCGCGCCCGGCTAGCTCAGTCGGTAGAGTATGGGACTTCCGGGGTCGTGGGTTCGAGACCCACGGTGGGCGAGCGGGTTTTGACTCGTGGTCCATGCGTCACCGGGACGCCGTCGCACCGGGACGTCACCGGGACGCCGTCACCAACGCCGTCGCACCCAGAACCACGGCAACCAGAATTGTCTGTACGACGAGCAATCCCAACTAAAACTAGTCTGGCCAGCTCAATATTACGTGATGGCGCACGACTGGCTATGGCGACCCACATTCGATTTCACGCAAACTTGTCCCGGCATGACGTTCAAAACACGCCACAAATCATAACCACGCGCGGCCGCTGACAGCCGCCTTGATTTAAGACAAACAATCCACTTACATCGACCGACCTCTGCCGCGCGACGGCCGCGAAACCCCATACACAGGGGCGACAGCGCAGCTGAGCCCACAACCAGCTGACACCAGCAGCACGCCAACAACCCCATACACAGGGGCGATAGCGCAGCTGAGCCCACAGCCAGCTGACACCAGCAGCATGCTAACAACCCCATACACGGGCGAGAGCGCAGTTGAGCCCACAGCCAGCTGACACCAGCAGCATGCTAACAACCCCATACACAGGGGCGACAACGCAGCTGAGCCCATGGCCAGCTGGTGCTAGCAACACGCCAACAACCCCACACACAGAGGCGACAGCGCAACTGGGCCCACGGCCAGCTGGTGCCAGCAACACGCCAGCAACCCCACACACAGAGCCGACAGCGCAGCTGAGCCCACAGCCAACTGGTGCAAGCAGCACGCCAACAACCCCACACACAGAGGTGACAGCGCAGCTGAGCCCACGACCAGCTGATGCCAGCAACACGCCAACTGGCAGGATTTACACCGACATCGTACACACTAGACACACGATTCTGCTCGTCATCACTGGGGGAGGTAAGAGCTATAACAGCATGTTCTCGACCGGTCTAAAAGTCAAATTTTGGCCAGATGAACGGAATCAATATCCGTTCTGTTTCATTTCAACTCAAAGGTACAAAATCATGTCTATTGTTTTGTGTTTTGGCCCAAATGTATGAAACCAAGGATATCATTTAGTTTTCAGTCTGCTGTACCCAAGTTTCACTCATTTCGACAGTGAAAGGTACAGCTTTGGTTTTGGCAATGCTCCTAACATGCCTCGCTCCCCTGTTTTTATCGCATGCCTGCCTCAGTGACCGGGGGAGCAGGACCCCTTCCCACCTGAAAACACTGAGACCGGCTCCTCAGCTGGGGAACACGGGAATCACCTCCCCCACCTGAGGGAACGCAGAGACCCTTTCCTGACCTGACCACAGCGCGGCGCGCCTGCGGGGCCGTCTGCTCACCTGAGGGAACACGGAGACCATGTCGAGCACGGCCGAGTAGATGCGGTCGATGCAGGCGTTGTACTGTTCGGTGCGACCGGCCTGCGCGGCCGTCAGAAGCCGCTGGATGCGCCGCGTCACCTGTCAGGCACGCGCCCGCTCGGTCACCGTCACAGCGGACTCGGCTACGGTCACAGCCATGGTCATGACCACGGTCACGGTCACCGTCACGGGTCAGGGTATACATTGCTACATCATGTTAAAAAGAGCATTGTACATCAATCGTCGTTTCTAAGGCAGAGCACATCGTAATTAATCGTAAAACAGGTCATCCAAACTCTTACCTTGGAACTTAAATAACTACGATAGCGAACATCCGAGCGCCGCAAACACGCAGCAACCGCGACCCCGGAGCCATTGCTACGCGTGATCACAACATTACGGCGCATCAAGAACCATAAAAATGTAAGAGCCAAGGTAACAAGAATCCAATGAAATGTGCTTCTTGCGCAGCCGAGCAGTCTTCTGTATCGTCTGTAGATTGGTCGACGCGGTGGGCAAATATGACGTTTTTGGGTGGGAATGAAAAGCAAAATGAGAATGTGGCGGCTAAACAAAACTTCTTAATATGCTACATACATATGGCATGGAACATGGATGCCAATGGGACACTGGGTTGAATGGGATAGAGTGGGGAGGTTAGGTGAGGTTAAGTTAAGTTAGGTTGGGTTAGGTTAGGTTAGGTTAGGTTAGGTTAGGTTAGCCTAGCCTAGCCTAGGCTAGGCTAGGCTAGGCTAGGCTAGGTTAGGTTAGGTTAGGTTAGGTTAGGTTAGGTTAGGTTAGGTTGTTAGGTTAGGCTAGGTTAGGTTAGGATAGGTTAGGCTAGTTTAGGCTATGTTCTGGAGTATTCTGACCTGTCTGTTTCATAAATGTACCTAGACGCGATAAGAAACGTTTTTCGTTGCGCTATTATTGTTACCTTGGCCCCGAACATTTTTTATGGTTCTTGATCGGCAGAAATATTGTAACCACGCAACGATAACGCAGAAACGGCGCTGGGGAGTCGAGGCGGTGCGGTGTGCGCCGTGCTCGGAGCTCGCCATCGTAGTTATTACAATTCGAAGGTAGTAGGAGCATGAATCTATCGGTTGTACGATTATTTACGATATGTTCCGCCTTAAACACGACGAATGATGTACAATAATTTTTTCTAACATTAGGTACCAATGTATACCTACACCCGGCCTCGGTCATGGTGATGGCCACGGTCGCAGTCATGGCCATGTCACGGACACAGCGGAGTCGGCCAGGATCACGGTCACGGCACTGTCACCTTCACGGTCGCACTCAATGGTCGCAGCCCCGGCCATTGGGGGAGGGGGGGGGGGGGCTGTATTTGCACGGGCCTCCGGCCCATGGTCCGGCCGGAGGCCCGTGCAAATATGATGATGCGGCCTCTGTACTGTCACACAGCTTGCCAGGCTGCTGCTAGCGTGGCGACAGCCGAGCCTAACGACTAGCCGACACGCTTCGACACGATCGTTCAGCATCAAGTCTACCATCAGCGACAAGAGAATCGATCATGTACTGACATGACCAGTACTGACACGCGCCTCGCTCACGGTCAACGATGAAACGCATCATGACAAAGGCCCCACGCCTGAAAGGCAACAATGCTAAGGATACAATACATCATCCCGCCTACACATAAATGCTCAAGTCGCACGCTTCTAAACGCGTCACATCACCTCCACCTACGCCCCGAACATCCTACCCCCATTCTCCTCACCGCCGGCTACCGGCTCCCCGCCCCGCCGACACGCACCTGCTCCGTCTTGCGTATGACCACCTCGGGCTTGGGCGGCGCTGCGGCCGGCGCGCCGCCCGGCAGCGGCAGCGAGCGCGAGCCGCTGCGCAGTGCGGCGCTCTCGTGCGGCAGCGAGCGCGAGCCGCTGCGCGCCGACGGCGACTCGGGCGGCGGCGAGCCCGACACGCTGTCACGCTCGCCCGCCGAGTGCTTCCGCTGCCGGGGAGAGGGGCACGATCAGCGGACAGGCAGCGGCCGCCGGCCGACCACGCGCGATGACGCACGCCTGACTGGCCGGCATACTAACCCGCACCAAATGTAATTAGCGGTGCGACAACCATTGCGATCAGCCTCGACAGACAACTGGCGACACGAAAGCCGCTCCAACGAGAGCGATCTCTTGTTGCCCTATTACCTCATCATCAGTAGGGTGAGTATAAGGGGAGGGGAGGGCAGCCGGCCAAAACGGCTCACAGACGCCGAGCACGCCCACCACCACAGACCAGCCACCCAGACCGCTCTGAAGCAATGATCGCGGTCGACCTGACCCCGCCGACCTGAGACACTGCCCCGATCCCCCAGGACGGTGTCGCCGGAGGAGGCGCCGCCTCGACTGACCTCCAGACACCAGGTGGGCGGCTGCGCAGGCCGGTCGCGCGTCTCGAACATGCTGACCGGCCGCTGGCCGTGCCGGCCGGACGGCGGCAGCGGCGGCGTGCCGGCCGGCGCCGCCGCCGCCGCCCCGGCGCTGTTCGCCCGCAGCGCCGAGTTCTCACTGGTCAGACGCTGCACCTGCGGCGCCCGCACACGGTCAGGTCAGGTCAGGTTAGGTCAGGTCAGGTCACGCCAGCGGAGGCCACGGACAGGTCGGAACTCTCACGCTGCACCTGTGGCGCCCGCACACGGTCAGGTCAGGTCAGGTCAGGTCACGCCAGCGGAGGCCTCGGACAGGTCGGAATTCTCACGCTGCATCTGCCGCGTCTGCCGCGTCTGGACACGGTCAGGTCTTCGCGGTTCATGTTAGGGTTTCACCCTACCAGACGCAGCAACTGCGATGCGGTGGTCCTGGAATGGTCAGGTTAGGATCCGGCCCCCTCCGTTAGGGTAGGCCGGGGTGGGGACACGGACAGGCTCAGGGTGAGCCAGTCACTCAGATTGTATTCGTAACATAACGACTGCTATGTAACAACACAAGCATTTATCCAGCGCCAAGTGTCATAACATCTGACCACCCTTGGTGCATCAGATTTCCTAAAGGGCACCCGTTCGACAGCAAATAAAAAGCCATCCCACCGCACTGCCATAGACTCATGCAACTGGAAAGCATCGCGTTCGAAGCGCATTTGGAGCCCTGATCCTCGCCTATGTGGCAACCACAACACCGAGGCGCGATGCCAGGGTCCACGCGCTGGTGCAAGAAAACAAAACTATTCGATACAAATCAAGTCACCGATATAAAACCAGGGCAGAAGCTACCACGTATTCGCACACAGCTTACGTTAAGGACAAGCGCATGAGAGGCAGGCCCGCTACGGCAAAGCAAGCGGCGCCCCCCGCATCACCCTCACACGACCATTTCGGGTCTTTCACGGCACACATGCTTCTTTCCAGGCTAACACAGTCTGGCAAAGGGAGGCAGGACAGCAGCTCTTATCATGCGGCTTCGAGGAAACTAGCCATCAGTCCTCTACAGTCCTCTACAAGCGCACGTGCAACGCTCCGTCCATGTTCGCTATCCAAATCCTCTAACTCACGAACTGGCTCGCAACACATCTCGTCAGCCAACGAGAGCGTCAAAACCAGCCGTTGCGCGCCTGAGGTCATCTAACGCGTTCCCATTCGCGCGTCGTCAGCGGAGGACTTACAAGAGGTCAGCGCAACGATTCCGCAAATACCCAGTCAGAACCGCCACCACCGGTGCGCCGCGTTGCGCCAGGCGAGCGCCGGCGCCCGACCCCCACCACCCGTCAGCGGTGCGTCGACGACGGCGCTCCCCTCCCGCCGGCCAGCCCCGGGCCGGTGTGATTACGCCATGGGGCGGGCGCGTCTCCAGGCGCCGTGACCGCGGACGGCTTGCCGGCAGCACGCGTATCGACCGCCGCCGCCGCCGCCGGCCGTCTCCATCGAGACGCGGCCGTTACGGCAAACAGCGCGGCCGCCACGTCCGGCGCGGCGCCGGCGGGCCCGGCCCCGCGTGAGGGCCTGCGTCTGACCGCGGCCAGCGCGGCCGCCACGCCTGGCGCGGCGCCGGCGGGCCCGACCCCGCGTGAGGGCCCGCGCCAGGCCGCGGCCAGCGCGGCCGCCACGTCCGGCGCGGCGCCGGCGGGCCCGGCCTCGCGTGAGGGCCTGCGCCAGGCCGCGGCCAGCGCGGCCGCGGTGTCGGCCCGAGGTGGCCAGCTCGGCTGTGTGACCGACAGGGACAAGACGGGGGCGGACGGGGACGGAAGCTGCCGCGCCGCGATCGGCGTCTCTGACATGGACGGTTTCGTTCGGGGAAAGGCCGGTGTGGATGTTTTCATGAACTTGTGGGCTATATTCTCATCTTCGGAGCGCATACGTGGTCTAACTCCAGGCTAAATCATGTCCCCCCCCCCCCTTCGCTCGCATTTGGCTTAATCATGCCACCATCTGGCCCTTGAACCGACTGAGCCTGCATCGAGCAAGCCGGTGGCGATCTGCCGCTCTGCAGACACCTGGCTTCACACAGAGAACATCCGGGCGCAGCGAGCAAGCAGTGTCACAGCCGCGACTACGGCGAGATGGGGGCGCCACACCGCACTGGCGCCGCCACTTACTGGCTGCTGCTCCGCCGGCGCGCTACGCGAAAAGGACACGCCGTTTAGTCAGCGAACAGGGCGAACGGCGACGACGGCACATGGCGACCGCGGGCGGACCGCGCTATCGGGTTACGTTAGCGTGTGTTAACGGCCAAAGCCAGGCGTTAGAGCGCATGCGCCGCCGCGACCCGTTACTTGTTCGTCCGTGGTACCGTCCGGTATGCTCATCTTCTCTTGGAAGAGGGAGGTCACCTGAGGGTGCGCGCACACACTTGGGCTTTGTACAGGCGACGGTCGCACCGGCCGGCGCAGCCCGGCGGCACCGCGACGCCCGACGACTGCTTTGTACACAAAAGGAGAGACAACTCAAAGAGGGAAACGGAGGAAGGCAGGAGCCAGAGTACCATGGTGCTGAAAGAACGGAAAATAGTGCATCAGAAAGAGAATGAACCGGCAGCTCGGCACGGCCGCAGAGAGCAGGCTAGCCGTGTGGAGGAGCAGCGTCGCGCGCGCGCGGCCGACCGCGGCGACTCACCATGTCCCGCAGCAGGTCAATCTCGCGTCGCATCTCGTCGTTGGACTCCTGCAGCACCAGGTTGGACTCGCGCAGGTGGTCGTCGCCGGCGGGTGCCGGCCGCTCACCGCCGCTGCTGCCATCTGACGCCTGACGGCGGAACTGCGCGGCTGAGCGGCGCTGGGGCGCGGGCAAACGGGCACGGCGAGATTACAGGGGCCGCCACCGCCGGCGCGCGGCTGGCGCGGGCCGGCCAGGCCTTATGTACAGGCTCGCCGGCCGACAGCGGTTAGTGTGAGGCCAACGGACCAGTGTCGGTTATCGGTTATCTGAGAGCGAGAGGCGGAGAGGACGAGAAGGAAGCGAGTGGCTTACCCGGCGGTGGACGTTGCCCTCCAAGCTGCTGCTGCTGCCGTCTTTGGTTTGCTGCTCTCCTGAGTCGTCGTTGTCGAGGCTCTGAGAGGACAACAGCTGTAAGACACGAGGTCACCATCCCACGAACCCGAGTGACCTCATTCCGGATACCTAAAAACACGAGTCAAATCACCACGGGATTGCGTACACCCAAAATACGGAGGAATGACAGCACTTGACGACACACAGCACCATTTCCCGCCAGCGGTCACGCCTACAAAAGCCAACACCGCGCCATCTGGGTCAGCTGAAGCCGCGGCCGGCACCCACCTCGGCCAGCGTGGGCTGCCGCTGCTCAGCCAACACCTGCTGAGCTCGCTCGAGTCGCTCCTGCTGCTCGACGGGCGCGTAGTCCTCTTCGGACGCCACCGAGTCGTAGAGGGGCTCGTCGTCCGAGCCATCGGCGGCCGCCGCGGCCGCTGCCGCCGCCGGGCCCAGCTGGCGGCGGCGCGCCTCCTGCAGCACGTCGACGATCAGCGCGCGGAACTCGGGCGGCGAGAAGCGCGCCAGCTTCTGGCGGCCCTGGTTGCGCGTCGACGAGAACTCGGGGTTGACGGGCAGGAAGGGCACGGAGCCGGGCCCGCTGGTGGCGGCCGGGTGCTGCGCCACCCAGAGGGCGTCCGTCTCCCGCCGGTCCACCTCGTCGTACACGTCGGCCGCCAGCTCCGAGAGCAGCCGGCTCGGCAGCTGTGGGCGGCGCAGAGCGGGGCAGGGGTCAGGGCGACCTGGCCACGATGGCGGCGGCGGCGGCTAGCGACGCGCTCCGAGCCGCGGCAATCGATTGATGGTGGGGTGCTTGGACCTCCCAGTAATTACAGGCTTTGATGGTGCTAGACACTACATGCAACAACACCAACACAAATAAACGCAAACATCCTAGCTGACATTTCAACAGCGGGACATCCTCCTACGGCACAAACCCAATGGCAATGACACATCCCGCAGGGTATTACGGCGAACCCGGACGGTTTCGAGCCCTTTCTGTCATGTGGTGTCCCTCTTCATCAGGCCGGCGCAATAACGGCACAAGTACGACGAACGGAACGCGGGAGGACGGCAGAAATACGGCGAGCGAGAAGCAGCCTGATCCACACCCTCCTCCCAGCCGCGGGAGCACCTCAGGGGGCCTGACACCTCTCCTCAGCCACCCCCAGCGCCGCGAGGGTCCCATCACGACAGGCGGTTGTCAGCGATCGCCAGCGGCGGCGGCGGCGCCTCACCGCCTGCAGCTTGCGCCGAGCGTTGCGCAGCGGCTCGGCGTCGGGCCCCAGCGGCGGCGGCACGACGAAGTGCTGCCCGGCGGCGTGCTCCGGCCGCCGGCCCGTCAGGAAGTACGCCAGCCGGTCGGTCAGCTCGTACTGGCACTCCTCCAGTCGGCGGCTCAGCTCGACGAAGCCGGCCTCCCTGCGCGGTGAGCGGCAGGCGGCCGGTGAGCGGCGGGCCAGCGCGCGGCCGCCATGCGATGCGACACAAGAGCACACACGACACCTGTGCTCCTTTTCAATGCTCTGTTCTCCGACGTCGCTGATGGCGCGCGCCGCCGCTGCATGAGACTGGTGAACGCATGCCAACAGCACGCATCGTGCAATGGGACACAGCGCAACTGCGCGACACAGATACACATGGCCGCTTCCAGACTGCTGTCTGCTAGTGTCACGACGGCCGCCATCGCCGCAAACACTGTGCGCCGGCCGGCTCTGACCTGGCGTGCTGGATGGGTGTGCGGCCGGCCCGGTCCGGCCGCGACGGGTCGGCGCCGTACACCATCAGCAGCTCGGCCTGCAGCGCCTGGCCGGCCCGCGCCGCCACGTGCAGTGGGCCCGTGCCCCGCTCCTGCCGACACACGCGCGGCACGCGTCAGACACGTGGTGCGCCGCCACGGGAAGCGTACCCCGCGTACGGCACAGGACTAGAAATGGCTCTACACACGCGTCAGCCCTGTGGGGGAATGCTGCCAGCTGCTGCGGCTGGTTGGACTGGTCGCGACTGGACGCACCGCCGTCTGGCGGACGGTGGGGGACGCGGCGGCACCGAACACGAGACGGCCCCACGCGAGACGCACACAGAATACTCGCACCTGGGACCGGCGGGTGAAGACGGGACAGGATCGTCCGCCTACGCTAAACGACGGCGGCTTGTATTACACGGGGGCCATCTGACCGAATCTCGCTCTAGCAACTGGCATCCGGGGTCTATACTCAGAGAGGCAGTGCACCCAGTATAAACATACCGTATACTGGCACACTGACCACGCTGCCACACTAGACGCCGACCCCTCTCATATTACAGTGACCACGCCACCACACTGGACGCCGACCCCTCTCATATCACAGCGACCACGCCGCCACACTAGGCGCCGACCACTCTCATATCAGTGACCACGCCGCCACACTAGGCGCCGACCCCTCTCATATCACAGTGACCACGCCGCCACACCAGGCGCCGACCCCTCTCGTATCACAGTGACCACGCCGCCATACTAAGTCGATCCCACCGTGAGCCGGACCTTACCCCACCCCCGTGATCCCGCCGCCATACCGGGTGCCAGTAGTTGGGGTTGGCGCCGAGCGAGAGCAGGCGCAGGCTCGTTTCCGTGTTGGGCGTGCGGACGCTGGAGTGAAGCTGCAGGCTGGTGTCGCCCTCGGCCAGCTGGCGGTCGTCCTTGCCCGGCCGGTAAACGAACGCCAGCATCTGGTGCTTGTCCCGTACAAACTTGGCCTTATTCGGGCTGCGGGGCGAAGGGGTGGGGGAGGGGTTAGGGCGGCGCCGCGGCGACGCGCCCTCCGTGACGACAGCGACGCGGCGCGGTGAGTCACGCGCGCCCGTCGACGGCAGCCGCCGCCCAGGCGAGCACGGTGAGTCATGACGGAGGCGGAGACGGGTCATGAGTTCACAAAATATTTATCGCGAGCAGTCGGGATGTTGTGATGATACCGTCCATTACGGATACACGGCATGGCACAGTGGACCACTCCTAGCTGCCAATGCGACCAAACAGGCGTGCGGTCATCTGCGATGAGCCGCACCCACCGCGGCCGGCCGGACCGTCGCCCCGCCCGTCCGCGAGGCCGGTGGCCGGGGCTCGGTCGCCGGCCGCCGCCGCGCGCGCGCCACCTACTGCACGGGGTCGGCGGGCGCCGGCTTCCGGCGGCCGAGCTTGCCGTGCGACGGGTCCAGCAGCGAGTGCTCCCAGATGTTGTTGGCGCCGCTGGCCGCCAGATTGTGCACCATCTGGGGACCGAGGGCGCGGCGTCAGCGGCGTCCCGGCAGCGCGCGGTGGGACCGTCCGACCCGGGCTCGTCATCGACGTACGGGGCTGATTAGGTCAGCGGGGCGGTCAACCACGATGCCAGTTGGAGGCCGTGACATATTCCTGGGTCACATACATGTGATCATAGGAGTACATCCTCTGCTTACAGGATCAATACCAGGTTTCTAAACATGCACACTACAATCGTTGCCTGCGATTTGATAAACATCCCAATACGCGTGATCGGGAACAGCTCTCATCCCAAATATTCCCACAACTACACAGTATATATAAACACACGCGGACTCCTATTTCCCGAACCGTAAAGACGTGAGGCAACGGCCAAAGTCCTGCGCAATTTCCTGCATGCTCACAAGCGCACTATATTCTGAGGACAATCTCATATGAAGAGTAAAGCGTCAAATCCATCACGAACTAACGGAACTAACCTATATGACACAGAAAAATACAAGCATCCCAAACTATGATACCAAAATAATGAATATGCCCATGCGTGCATACGATTCCACCAGTAACTGAAGTAACAATGGTGGGCATACTGTAACTGAAGCCTGCATGACGACATCCAGGATTTGACAATAGGACTACATAGATGAGCCTATCCCAACAAAGCCGACACGCGGTGTTCTTCCGAGGGACGCCTGCCGCCAGCCTGCGGAGAAGCACTCGTCCGGCCGCCGCTCGAGCCGCCGCCGGGGCCCGCCTCACCTTCAGCTGCTGGGCGTTCCAGAAGCCCCGCTTCAGCGACTTGACCTGCGAGATGTGACGGCCCAGACTGCGGTGCACGCTGCAGCAGTCGTCGCACAGCAGGATACCACGGTTCACCGACGCCCAGCTGGGCTCTGGAGTAGCGGCCAGCGTCACCAGGCGAGGCACGAGCGTGGAGCTGGGGCGCGCCGCTCTCCAGGGCTCGGCCCTATGGCGGGCGGGGCTGGACGGGGCGCCGCTCTCCAGGGTTCGGCCCTATGGCGGGGCGGGGCGGGACGGGGCGCCGTTCTCCAGGGCTCGGCCCTATGGCCGGGCGGGGTGCGACGGGGCGCCGCTCTCCGGGGTCCGGCCCTATGGCGGGGCGGGGCGGGACGAGGCGCCGCTCTCCAGGGCACGGCCCTATGGCAGGGTGGGAGTGGGACAGGGCGCCGCTCTCCAGGGTCCGGCCCGGCGGCTCTCCAGGGCTCGGCCCGACGGCGGGGCGGGGCGGGGCGGGACGGGGCGCTGCTCTCCAGGGCTCGGCCTCAAGCACTGCTCACCATGCTCAGCGAACAGCCGGACATTCTTTTGCGTGGCTCTGTCTGCATTACACTAAATGGATTGACATGTCATGCCTAAATGACATGAAATATCTCATTAACAAGGAAACCTTTTGCACAGGTATGATTTATTGTTCCAGACTGCAAGACAAATCGAAAGCACAGTTCTTCAAGCAGTCATGCAGGGTATATTATAGAAGAAAATATGGGACATTCTGACAATTACTTACTGATATTAGATTTACATCATTGTTTTTAATGTTTGTTACACATGCAATCATCTTAAGTTTTTGGTGCATCACTTCAGTGCTTAAGTAATCAAGCATCAGCATGCTCCAAATACAACCAGCATGAATATCCACTTATTCTGTGCCTGCTGTAGACCAGTTACCCATAGTCCCACTACTGCTAGGCATGATCAGTTATAAGTGAAAGTCCCTCAGTTTAGGCAGTAGTGTGTTAGATTTGAGAACAGCTTCAGAACAGGTGACAATGGCTGTTTTGTGGATAAGTACTGGGGCACCCATGGGTCAGGAAGTGTTGAGGTGACTTAAATGATCTGTTTAAAGCACTGCTTGCTCATAGTGTAAGGCTGCTATGATTTCTCTAGAGCAATACAATTGTCCCTTTTCTACTTGGTCAATATTAGCTAGTAGCATGTGATGACCAAACCTAATTACTGACTGTCTGAACACTAGATGATCATGTTTTTATGACCTATGCTTGACCAGTGTTACTTATATTGCTCATGCTAAAGGAATGGAATATACAATTTGGAAGATGCTGCCACAATAAGATGCTATCTAATCAAACAGCTTGCATTTGGATACCTTGCACATGTTAAATGGACTGAACTGAATTAAGCCGCTTGTTGCTAGAACAATTCATGGTGTTTAATCTGACCATGCTAGAATATAAGCCTGATGAGGTTCTCACTCACAGTGCTAAAGCATGACAGCTAAAATTCTGGCCAGCTGACATTAGAACTCACTCAGTACATAGCATCAAGTATAAGATGCAAAAATATCAGAACAAAATGAATCAAGTTGCCTGAATAAAACTTCCACAGCTAAAAACTATGCTGTCCCATGTTCCATCCATGCCAAACCCTTAACAGCTAATCACACAGGATTGCCATTTGCACAACACTAACACACCTTCAAAGATGTACTATTACCACAACACAAACAATGGTTTCTGATAAATGTGCCACTGTACCCACTGCACAGGGTGCAACAAGCACAAAGCTTGGTGGCTGCTCACAATCATTGTTCAGCTACTTCCCAATGCATCTTCCATCGGCATACATCTGTATCATTTAGATGTGCTAATAATATGCCAATGTCCATAATTGTACCTAATTACACTCCTGCAAGTGATAACTTACCAGGTGATCCACAATCAGCACATCCTCCCTTGATTTGTCTCAACTTGTTTCGCAGCATCATGTTTGCCAAAATCAATGACAACTTGAGCACAAATACACTTACAAAAATAGCATCAATCCCAATATTTTAAATTGAGCTAAATTTGGCACCTGGTGATAACTAAGACATCATTGTTCAAAGAAGAATGATGTAAATATACTGAGCGGGCCGCTAGCAATCCATCCAGCTCAACATTCCCGCAAGTCATCTTCGCTTTCCATGCTCATTCTGCAGCTTGTCACGACAATCGAATTCTGAGTGTTATTCAGTAAGTGAGCAGCTGGACCCGGCAACACAAAAGTAAATATCCTAACATCTATCGAACACGAAAGGAAGTAGCCAGTAGGCACGCAGCGCACCCTCCACCAGCAACGCGCTAAAACAACACAGTCGGAGTCTGAATGTGGGCGTGCGGCAGAAACGCCTCGCTACGCCCGCTACAGTATTCACAGCTACCAAATCAGGGTAACAGGGATAAATTCCTTCATGCGGGACCCCATGCCGTAATGCTTTTGATCTGTCGGCAACCGTCGAATGAGTGAATGAGTCACCCCAGTCCGAAGACCAGAAACACGCTTCATGATGATGGCGGTTGCGAATCGGATCAGTCAAATGTTCTTTGACGCAGTTCCGGCAAACGCTTCGTGCGGTGTGGAACCAGCGGGATGATGACGGAGGCAAGTCGTCAGATTCACCATGCAGATAAACGCCAAAAACTAAGCTAATGGAACCGATGCATCCGGCAACCAGTACCAATGGGCTTGATCAAGGTGCAGGTAGGTTTTCATTTTCATGTAAATTGAACACGCGAGTTTTCCACTGATGTGACATTCACACGCTCATTCACAAAAAGCATTGCGTTAAATGTGGCTAGCTAGTGGTCCGGTCAGGCTCGTACGCCGGTCGTATCGAAATTATTGATAGTTTTGCAGTTACTTACGATTTGTCGGCAAGTGTGATTATCGCGTTAAGAAAACCGTAAAATGTTGGACAAATATCGTCACAATAAGCGGGGCCACACAAGTGATATTTTTGCCCCTAAAACTCCTGTTTACGCAATGTCTTGCATTCCATATCGTTTTCGGACGCAACACTGGCTGCGTTCCGGTCGATTAATTTCGCACCTAATGGTCGGACGGTTTTGGGGATTCGCTATAAGCGAAGCCGATACATTCACCTGCACCATGCAGCACGGTTCGCGCCGTTACCTGCTCTGGTTGCCACCAGTCCTTCAAGACGTCCCAAACCGCCAGAGCCGCGGTTCCCGCACTAAAGAACATGACCGGCATCACACATCGTCCCCCCCCCCCCTTGCTGGTGCGACTGTCCGCTTTCTCCTCCCTCAGCGTCTGCCAGTCTCACGCCGCTATGACGCCAATCGTCAAGATCTGGACCACGCTTTGACCCATTCGTTACCCTTTTTGCCGTTTGAACGTTTTCCTTTCCCACGTTAATGGAATGGGGAAGGCGAGATCGTGACCATATTGAAATGCCGCAAAAAAAACGAGCACGATATCCCACGGCCTACACGCAAATACCCAAGAATTCAACCGCCGCAACTTGAAACGGGCTACGTTTGCTGATGCTGAGCACTGGATTAACCCACAACCAGCAGTTGCAGATATCCCCAGAGGGCGGTGACAACCAAGTCCTGGCCTAGATGCCATGCTAGATGCTGGCCTAGATGCTAAGTGGCCTTTTCCCACAGCTCACGTAGACCCATTCGATCTGCGGCATCGTTCCACTCCAAAAGCGTGGCTTAATGACGGCGACGATGGTGTGAGCTTCTGCACATATCAGCCGCTTTGCTTTTTCAAGACCACGCGTAGTTTAAAGCAAGGTCAAAGGCATTACACCTTCCGAAGATCGGTCGTAAAAACCAACAGCTCGCTTTTCCGCAAAATATCAAAACACAACAACCTATGCAACTGTACCACCCGTTTTTTCTGCGCCATTGATGACACCATGAAACACTACTACGTGGTACTTGCCCTTAATGCAGCCCATTTCAAAGCCATAACTTTGCAGAATTACGACAGTGAAGGGGTAACACAGCTGATAACGGTGATACCAATGGAATGTGGAAGTATGTCACAACGTCCTGTGCATCCAACCCGGAACGACTCATTGGCGGGCCTAGTTCATTTAACAAAAAACAACAACAAAAAAAAACGGCCGACCCTGCAATACCTTTCTAATCGGTCTTGAAAGCTAACCAGTAATGCTATCTCACAATTCCGCAATTTCTTCACGTGCGACTTATAATGACGCCTTTGACCAGCAGCGGTGAGCGGCCACTGTCTCGATATCAGCCAGGCTCTCGTTCACTGGCAACATCTGCGGACGCCGGTCATGCCAAACAATGACGCATTACCAGATAGGCGGGCTGTGCTGGGAGCGAGCGCATCCTGGCGAGACATGCGCCACAGCAAAACGGCCTCCGCTGGGAACACCCTCCCAGGGCCTCCCATTGCCCTCCAGCCCAGAAGTCAGCCTGGCATCCGGCGGCGGGCTTCTGGGTAACACAGTCTCCGTGCAGAACTCAATCGATACAATATATTGGAAAGCATGCCAAAAGGGCATAGCCGTAAGCACCGCTCAATACGCATAGATATACGTATAAACATCATTTTCAATGCATTCAATAAGCAATCGCATTCGCGCCAACCAGAGTCGTGCGTTGTTCGCGATGGTTATATTAACAATGGCCGACACTACTTCGGATAACCAACAATTAGTAGTACTGCGTCGTCACCGAATCACAAAAATAAAGGGCTGAACGTGGCGCATCCTTTAAGCGCCTGAGGCGTAAATCGAGAAGAGCTCACGTATATGATAACAAAGACAACACACGCGTACACAAGATAACCAGCAGCGCACGAACCGTCCGCATCCGCACGATCTTTCATCCGACGAAGCCGGTCTTCGCTCGCACCCCGCACACTTGAGTTTGCGCGGCCGCAAAGGAAGGCAGTTGGGGGTGGGGGCTACACCGCATTTGAGAGTGAATCACAGACTTGCGACGGCGATCTGGTGAGCCGCGCCCCCGGCCGCGGCCCCGCTCCGCTCTACGAGGGGCGGAAGGTCCGGCCGCTGCAACAGGCGGGAACACGTGTCAGCGGCGGTCAGGGCCGGAAGCCGCCGCCGCTGGAGCGTCACACCCGGCCACCGGCATGGCTACGGATCGGCTCGTTGGTGGGCTCAGTAGCTGTAGGGCTGGTTGGAATTGTTCGTTTCACGCAAATTCGCGGATGAGATCACAACACGGTGCGCATTTCTGACTGCTTGCGTCGGCACAATTCTGCAGAAGCCTGCACAATCCCGCTGACATAATGCTACTCATCAGCCAGCCCTGCAGGCAAATCAGATGCTTACAACACTTCAAACCTGCTAGATGTATGCCCCTCGAATATCACATCTGCGTATTGGAAACCGCGCCCCACACACAACCATAACGATCGGAATACCACTTACGGAAATCCGCCAAACCGCGTACAGCTACCTACCCACAGCCATGATAGTTGGGGCGTACACAGCGGGGTGGTCATGACAAGCGCTACAACTCACCTGATAGTCTTCTTCTCAGTGACCTTGGCCTCGGGTCGTGCCCGGTTCAGCACCTTCAGGATCTCGGACGTCTTGGCGCGCATTCGGGAGTGGATGTAGGCCTTGGAGCACTTGATGTGGTAGTGCAGGTAGTCGCGGAACATATGGATCAGGTTGATGGTGTTGTCGCGCGCCGCCCGGTTGGTGTGGCGCGGGAACAGGACGAACGTGATGTAGCCGATGTTGTCGCCGACGCGGGCGTCCGTGTTCTGCAGTTCCAGCGGCGGCTCGCGGTGGCTGAACATCACCTGAGGTGCTGCCGACAGATGATACCATATGCTCAGTATAGAGACATGCGGGCCTGGCAGCACCCGGACAGCACCCGTGAGACCTTCGCACTGGACAGCAGCTAGTGGAAGATCACTCAGGTGCCAGTGGACGCAACGTTTCATGTTGCGACATGGCGCATGATCGACATGTGCCAGCGAGACAAACATGGTCCCACCACTTCTGCACTGAATCATCTAGACAAAGTATGACGTTTTAGCACGGGCCGAGCACGTCAGGCTTAACCGAGGCATAATGCAGCAGTGCACTCTATCATTGGTCAGTTACTGGCTAAAATGTAGGACAACCACACTCACACAACAAAAGAATGAAAGCCAAATACTATGCTACAGAAAAAACCACAACTTAAGTCGATGAGACAGATAAGAAAACAATACAACTCTGCTGGGAAATGTAACCACCACAAACCACAACTTTAAAACCAGTCTTCAAGGAAAAACACAAACAGCAGGACTACACAATAAGACAACAGGGCAAGCAATCATTGATGCTAGCCATTCAGGCATGCACACCAAAATCAAGACAAGACAGCTCCCCACTCACATAGCTCTTGACCCCCAACGACAGCAAGGCAATGCTGAACTTCAGCTCCCCACTCACATAGCTCTTGCCCACCAATGACAGCAAGGCAACGCTGAACTTCAGCTCCCCACTCACGTAGCTCAAGCCCACCAATGACAGCAAGGCAACACTGAACTTAAGAGCCACTGCGGCATTACCCTGCGCGTCTAGCGCCGCCGCCAGCGCCGGATGGCGGCGACCGCCCGGCTCAGCCGACGCACCTGTGTGGCTCGCTTTGCGGCCCTCCTTGAACTCTTGCATAAACACCTTGCCGATAACAACGTCCGTTTCGTCCTTGAAGATCGTGCTGAAGACCACCGTCACCCGGTCCGCCTTGGCCTCCACATACCTGTCCGCACGACGGAGGCCGCTCAACGGATTGGACACGTGATGGCTTTGGCAACTGCTTCGGGAAGACAGTACTCACCTGTAGTCAGTTTTACAATCAACTGTACGAAATGGCAAAGCAAGACCTGCCATGTGTTGTGGTGTCGGTTTTGACAGACGATCAAGTCAATCAGCAAAAGAACGATGGGTCGTGAATCGCAGTTCACACAGAGGATGCCAACACCTGACACATCTGACCCTGTGTCAGACATGTGATAACATCAACATGTCCTAACTAACATGACCTACCACACATCAAGCCTGAACACATCTCGGTCTTACACAGAGCAATCTTTTAAGCCAGAGCACCACCTCCGCAGACGCGTTGTAGTACATGATCCGTTTTATGCTCAACATGTCTTTGGAAAACACACACACCCCAATCTGCAATCTTATGTAAGGCTGCACAAAACTGCAGCAAGGTGTGAAGTGCAGTGCTACCATACTCACATTGTTTCATCATCACGATAATGGACCACAGCACGTTTTGCTCCCTCTTCTCCCTGCTCTTGGAACTCAAAGTACTTCACAAAAACAGATGCAAAACAGTTTGTCTTCAACAGGCCAATATTCTTGACTAAGCTCTCCCAGTCACTGGGAATGTTTTCTAAGTCCACTAGTAAAGACACATTGTACCCTGAAAAGGTAAAAGTTATTATAACACATGTGATAATAATATACATCTAAGACTTACCAAAATACCTGTTCAGCAAAGAGAGCTCCAACAAGATCTCAATCACGTAAGTTGTTGAGTGCATTTGCAAGGATCATTATGCATTAAGGCAACACAGTAGTGTAAGCATTATTCATCATAGAACAGGCAGACCTTCCATCTCAAGGGCATGTGCGCCTGGGGGGGGGGGGGGGGGGGGCAATCAGCGTCATTTATGCAAGTCTGAGTTTCAAGGGGTTTGCACGCACAAAACGTGGTATGCCAAATTCTGTGTTAACAGTGAGAAAAACATGGGAGGAGCATAGTCTATGCCAGGGAGTCCATGCACCCTATACATTTCAAAAATAGGAACAAAATGCTAACAACAAAATAGGGTACCCCTTTTAGCAACCATTTCTTGACAAAACACTCAGGCTGAAACTCATGAAGGACTAAGAGCCCTATACCTCTTTTAGAGCTCCATGTCATCAGACAAAGCACAGGACCATCCAGACAGGAAAATAAGTGAATTCCAAGAATTCAGTCACCTGACCTCAACATACAGGGCTCGTCCCGGCCCCGACTGTGCAAATGCGACGAGTGCCTTAACGTGTGATACATGCTGGTTTAAAATGGATTGCATGCATGAGTGATGACTGACGTGAGATGCCTGCCTGCCCGACGCGCCTATTTTAATGAAGTGGCTTGCGAGCATAAGTGATGTGCCAATGGTTTTCTTAAAATCAGTGTTATGTGTCAGTGATGTGTGATGCCTGTTAAGTTGAATTTGTTTGCATGCGCACACATTTTCGCGCACCTTCAGCCTTGATTGATCACATTCATCATATTAATGCTGGTAATTCCTTTTTGTTTAATCCCTTGAATGTTGGTGACCTGCAAAGACTGTGGCTCACTTTTGGCACATAACCAAAATATCAATACATCTTCCTCCCCTTCTCCTGGTTATTCTGCAAGGAATAAGGCTACCAGTACTGTCTTAGCATCCTGATCACATGTACAGAATCTCATCAATATCCGAGCTTCAGAAACCGGGTGTAGAGAATCACTTCAGAAAACAGTGCAGACTGGGCAACACTACATATTAGGTTTCCAATTTCAGGTGGTTTGGGCCACTAACATCACACACATTGCGGCATGAGCTTGTGATTACAACAAAACTACTTCCTCAAGATTTAGTCCAAACCTTTGGAACGGATGGCTCTCTGGTATCAGAGCTCATGCCTCGCAGTACTTGCTGTGTGAGCCCCCACCCCTACCATCGGATCGTGAGGTTCAAGGTCAATGGCAGAATTTGGTGGCAAAAGTCCAACGTACTACATTGCTCTCCGCACTAGTATGCCGAGCCCCCTGGGGGCCATGTCACCTTGAGTGCAGCTGCTGCCACAGGCCATCCCAGTCAAAGGCAAGAAGCCAGTGCCTAAAACGGCTCTAACCCCATCCACCACAGGTGGGTGGGTTAAGAGGCAGGTGCTCAAAAACAATGGAGATATCAGAATCATCACAACAATTATATGTAGCCCTGTTCCTTGAACTGTGCTCGACATGCCCTGTCAGACATACAAAGAGCAACACAGCAAACAATTCTTCTTCGATTGAAGATTATTGTGCCATTTTCAGCAGCACAGTTAGTCCTTTTCATGCCTGAGATGCATTCTCCCCTGCTGACCTTCCTCTGTGGCTGTGATGAGCTCTCCGTACACCTTTCTCAACAATGCATCAGCGCCATGCTCCTGAAGGTCCTTGTAGAACTTGAGCGATATGCTCACCTGAAACACAAAACAAACGCATTGCTACAAACCAGCATAGCCATGCTACGCAGCAGGATTTCACAAACAAATCACAGAGAACTCTCGGACAGAAAACTGGTGTTCATGTGTGCTCTCTCCAGAACATCAGTGCTGCACTGTATTTTCATCAGTGCTGCAGATTTCCACAACAGTGAAGCATCTCACCCATTTAGCAGCAACAAGACACATCCATTTATGTACATAACACACATTTACAGAGTACCACCAACCCACAAAAGTCAGGAAGTGTTCCCTTTGACAAACAGTCTTAACTTTGTGACACCAGAGCACATACACTAACAAATCAATGACTGCAGAAATATGCCACAGAATCTTCTCAGATCCTGTTTGAACTTTTCCTGCAATGTAATACATATGGCTCCCTTCCTACATCTCTCTTATTCAAAACACAACTTTGGAAGACAATGGACACTTTAAGTTGTCCACCCCTGCACCTTTTTAAAAATCCATCAGCCTTTTCATAGATTCACACCTAAACCTGGACAACATACTGAAAGCCCAGCCTTACATAACCCTGATGTTTTCCTAATATTAATATGGCACTTTTGCATCATGCATACTAGCAAGTAGCCCAAAGTATGTCAACTACCATTTTCCTTGCCTCTCCAGGTTAGTTCCAATGTTGCTAGCTTACTACTTATTATGGCTAGGTTTTTCTTTTTCAACCACAGCACACTCTTGACAACCCATTACAATAACTTTCCAGTATGCTCCTCAACTGCATGCATACTCTTTACCCACCAACACTGCATTTCATGATGATATCAACAAATACATAGCAAAACACAAATATCTGTGTACTGAGCCAGATGGAACTCTAGTCAGCACACCTCACCTCATGCTGTTTATCCAGCCTTTCAGCCAAACTTGCAACAATCTAACACCAGGTCCAATTTGAAATGATGCTTCAACTGAAGTACATTGAGTAGCCAGTCAACAAATAGTATTGTATCCTAATAGATCAACTTTCTCAATCCTCTAAAAACCCATTTCAGAGCATGAACAAATTACATCCCACAATCAGGAAACAAAATTGTATTTCCTGCCTCGCTGAAACAAGGGACTGATGGCCCACCCAGTTTCCCTACTCCAACACTCATGGGTGGGGCTATTGGCCAGTGACTGGAATAAACAGTTGCATCTGGGGAACTGTTCATCTGTGATGGCATTAGCCTGGAGGCTCTGCTGATAATTACACAGCACATGTTGTACTGCATTATCCACACAAAGTAGAAAAGTGACTACACTGCTTACCAGAAAAATGTGTAGGTGCTGGGACATAAGAAAAACCAAAGATGAGGGCTTGATTGTTAAATGTATAATAAAATGAATGACATGCATACAACATTTGATCTTAATATGTTCAAATAGAATAACAGCAGTTCCACAAGGCATATTCCAGATGCTTAAGTATATACTTTCCCCAACTAGCAAATGCCCTTTTATCTAAAAATCAAAACAAGAGACCTAGTGTTCTCTGTTGGGGCACTCAAACTGATCAGGAATCTGTATGTGATGCTTTTTGTAAAGCCAATTTTATCTGTATCTTCTGCGGCCAACACCATCAGCCATGCCCAAAATCAGGTGAGGTTGGAGGGCAAAATGGGACATGCAGAACATCGTTGCATTTCACACTCTTGCCACAACAATTAGCTGTGACATAGAATTACAGGATCAGATGATGGGAGCCATGGCTTACACAAACTGCTTAGCACAGGCATCTGATCTGAAGATGTCAACCAATTCAAAAAGGTTCAGATTAGGTCTAAAAACACAAATTAGAAGACTCCTGGGCAGAGTAAAAAATGCCCAGGAAGCAGAGAACAGGGGATAATTGTATCTGGATGCAGCTTGTGCATATCACTGCTGGTCCAAGCTGTCAGCATGTTTCTCTGTTGTCCTAACTATTGAACATTATGTCCTTATCCCACACAAACCACATATTCATATGCAATAAACTGCTGAATTACATCCTGTTGATTAACCACATGAAATAAGGACTAGTTGTATGCAGAGCACAATAATGAATAAATGAAATATCCTGTGAACATGGCTGTGACTCTTGCCAGAGCTCTGGCAGAACCATAAACCCTATTTAAACCTGAACAATAGAACAAATGCTCCTTCCAAAAACTTGCACAACCCTGCTTTTACAGTGGAATCATCTCTTCTGCATTGAAACTGGTTCTTGCCCACAACAAAGCAAGACATGAAAGCTTACCAAAAAACCCAGAACATCCAGAATTTGTAACAAATATCTAAGAACTTTGATACAAAAGACATTTACCTTCAACAATGCCAAATTTATATGTTCAAATGCATTGAGTTTTGCAGCACAGCATCTGACTTTGGAGCTGCACATATAGAAATAAGAGGAGCAGCAAACCCAACTTACCCTAACTTTGGTCTTGTCCCCATTGGGATTGGAAATGTGAAATAGCACCCCATCAAAGTCTGCCAGTGTCACATCAATAGACTCATGCTTCACCCTGAAAAAGAAAAGAGAAATGTATTAGTTGGCATCCAACACAATGCATCTTAGAAGTAAACTTACATTGCTGTATTCTTGCAGAAATATGATGGAAAATCATACAAAAGCAAGCACCAAAACAGCCTCAAAGTATATTTTGTCACCAATCAGTTTACATCCAGGGCCTACCAACCACATCAATAGCTGCATAGAGCACATCATCCATCAGCATAGGTTTACATTGGTACCTAATGTTAGCAGGGTGCATGCACAGTAAACGTCATTTTAAAGGCACAACATATTGCAAATAATGATGTACTCAAGCAGATTCCAGCAATATTTCACAGATACAATGGCAATTCTTGAAACACAAGACAACCAAAGTATCAGGAATGGATGCTAACTGAAACACTGTACTGGTATCCTACTGCAGCCTGGGGACAAGCTCATTATTGGAATAAACATAATAGGCTTGCCAATATTAAGATGAAGGTATTATGCACATGCTATCCTCAGATGACATCAGCAAAAAGAAAGAAAAAGAAACTGAACAACAGTTAATGGAAAGATGTCCACTGCAAGATGCTCACAAATTTGATTATACCAGATGAACACTTGCATGTGACATTTGTGGGCACCGCCCCAGTTTAGAAAAAAACCCAGGAGTTGGATCAAGACTTGTATGAATGATTACCATGCAAGCACATCCTGGCGTTAAATAAAAAGATACCTTATCTTCGCTCGAGGCAAAAAACACCGGTACAAAGCATATATACCATTACGATCGAGTGAGTTCATTGTCACCCAAATGTGACGCTCCACCCGGCAGCCACTCAAGCATTCACCACTCTCAGCTCACTTACCCAGCTTGAGCGTTCTTGATTTTGAGAGTAAGGGTTTCTTCTACAACCCTGTTATTTATCTCCAAAAGTATCATGACAGCAACATCGGTCAATCACCCATAAAATGCCAACCTCAATACCGGCGGAAGGGTGTACCTCGTCGACAAAGCGCAAGGACTCCGTGATTACTATGGCGGCTGCAGAACGCCCTGTGATTGGCCACTTTCGAGCTATCTAGTGGTGGGGTGATAAGGAAATTTGGGAGATGTTCATTACTAGATCAGAAATATGTGGCACAAACGAAATCAAGCCCACAACAGCAGCATAAACATGGTTGAAAAATATTTTTTCAGAAAGGAAATATTATTCAAGCTTAAAAATAACCCTGTTCTGGTGAAAATTTGTCATGTTCGTTTGTACCATTTACCGACGTTTTGTTGAGGACCTATGACGTCATCGAATGCTACAGCTCACGGACTGGCTCCGGACGTGACTTCATGCCGAGGCCTTCGAGCGCTTACCGCAACTTCTCACTGAGGTGGGGGCCGGGAGCGCCTCCAGATGGCACCGAGACTGACAAGTTGGCACCGCTCATTTGCCCGTACTGATTGCGACCACAGCCAGAACGCCGGTTGCGGCGACAGCGGCTGCTGCTGGGGTTTACCTTTCGACTAGTTCATGTCGAGCCCAAAAAGCAGGAGAATCCGGGCTATGCTTTCCTCAACCTTTCAATAAGACATAAAAGCGAAGCGGATACTCGGCTACCCAAAACCTGTCGGACATGAAAACCACGCATTGCTGCAGCCATGCCAACCGTGCAACCAACCATGCTATTATCGTGTCAAGTAGGTATGCAGCAAGTTCCCTTTTGCGGTTTGGATGAGTAGCCCGAAGTGACCCTGGGTACCGACGATCAAGGGCTTGATTGGATGACCGAAGAATCAGAAGGGCTGACCGTACGTCATGATAAGGAGCGTCATTTTTTTGCACTGATTGGTGGCTCCCGTGCGACAATGCGGGCCGCTTGATAGCTCACGGACCACAATTTGGAAGTCTGTTCCGTGTCAGCCTTAGTCCTGGGAGCCCATTTCCGAAACAGGGGCAAGGTCGAAGTCCACGATTTGTATTAGTCGGGGCCCCTGAAAAAAAACAATCAAACCCCTGTGTCGGTCGGGGACCTACAGTGCCTTACAGGGGGGGGGGGGGGGGGGGGGGGGCTGTATCCAAAAGGGGCCCTGAGTCGGCCAGGGGCACATTTGCTGAACGGGGACTGGGACGCGAGGTCGCCACATTACCTTCAGTAAGCCGGTAAACCAAACTGGAGGAGTTCCTATTCAATAATTGGACCCCCTCCCCTGGTAAAAGATCTCGTCCTGGTAAAAAAATCCGTCGATGAGGGCCCATGCGTTGATCCAGGGCTAACTGCCCCGGTCAGAGGGCCTCCCACGCCGGGGAGCGAATCGATGTATGACGTATCCCTTCAAGGCTCTTCGGATCGACCATTGGGCCCGACACCTGCGCCGTCGGGATGGCAGCCGGTAGGTACCCCGAGCTGGGACGGAAGGGCTCTTCATCCCCTGCCCAGGGCGACTGCTATGCTGCTGGGGTTCTTTCCACTGGCCCCTCGGCAGGAATGGCCACACGTCTTTTTAGTGTCCAAGCCGGTGAATCGAAACCGGGTCAGATGTATTTATTGACATCGCTAGCCCATGTTTGCCTGGGGACGTTCATTCTTTACAGATTTGATTAGTGAAACAAATTATTTCAAGTAGTTCGCGCATACGCGCTCGCAATCTTTAGGAGCAAGAACACCAATGCTTAGCATTCTTACAATTACAACAAAACGACCAGTGGAGATGTTGGCCCTACGTGAAGAGTTTGGGGTGCTCTTAATGCTTATCGACTCGCATGATCAACCTGAAAATCGCACAGGTGAAATAAATGACTCATTATTTTCCCAGCGTAGGAATGGATTTCATAGAACATTTCTGTGCTATGAAAACCACTTGCCAAGGTATATTTGAATTAAAACACACCTTCTCCCGTACATGGTCGTTCACGTCCGCCCGCTGCCCAGATCAACGCCTCAGGGCTTGTCTAAGCCGCGGCTGCGGGCTTCGTTTTTTTTGTTTGTCCGGACAACAAAAAACATGCACGCGCACAAGCGCGCGTGGTCAAAACCATGGGCGCAGGAACAGGGGGGGGGGGGGCAGGGGGGCATGGCCCCCCACTTTTCAAGGTGGGGGGTAGGCGGCAGTGCTAAACTGCCCCCCCCCCCACTTTTCAGATTAAAGTCGCTGCTTTTGCACCACATTAAACATGCGTGCCGATTTACCTAGTTCACCAGCCGTCTTCCTCAAGATGCATCACCTTTTTCTTTCGCTTATTAGTAGTCGGTTAACGTCACAGCCGCAGGCCAACGCCGCGCAGCCAATGGAGGCTGCAAAGCCGGGCGTCGAGGCTGTTGTTGCTATGTCTTTTTAGAGCCCACGTTCAAAACCATACCACATAGTTCCTTTGTTACCGGTCATCAGTTCGGACTGATTCTTGAACATTTTAAGACGAAGATGGACTGGTCATGTTAATACAAATTTGGGACTCTACGTTCAGGGGTCTTCAATGCCTCTTAAGAACACAGAAAACATGGAATTGGAGTCTATGTGACAATTATTGGACCGCCTGCGGCGATTAGGGATGTTGTGGCATCAATGCGAGTTCCTGTGCTGATCCGGAGCGAACTGCGCGGGTCAGAAGGCCTCCTGTGTCAGGGAGGGGAACAGTGTGATACGATGTATAGTTCTAATGGCCTCCGGATCGACCAGGAGAACCCGCCCCGTGTCGCCAGAATAACAGCGAGAAGACACTCCGTGATGGGCCGGAATGGCCCTTCAGCCTTTGGCCGGAACCGTTAATGTGTTCCAGGTGTTCTGCTCAAGAGGCCCCGGAAGGAATAGGGGGTCTCATTATTGTTGAGTAGAGTGGATCGAAATGAATTAAAACAACGAACAAGACCATCCCATGTTTGTCTGAGAACGCTCATTTTTTGTAGAACGGATTTCTAAAAAATGCATCAAAAGGTTTGAACATGCCCGCTCACAACATCGAGAGCAAGGACAGCGATGGTCTGGGTTGCACCTTCCGTAAAACCGGACGGCGTTGGCCACTGCAAGTGCCACCAGACTTGCAGTGTTACGGGAAGACAGAGTAACACGGTTGGCGCCGTGTTGCTACTTTCTGAACATATCGATTGTCACAGAAACACGACAAATTGAGAATCTTCTTTTAGTCTTCCATTTCCACCACCACCAGCACCACTTCGCGGTGCTCTAAGGGCCACTCCGTTCTTATCATCAGTTTAAGAGTAGCACACGTGAAATATGCGCCCAGACTGCCTTCCAAATGCACGGTTTGATGTCTTGAAACGTTGAAATGTACTTTTTCTGGGAGTGTCATCATTTTTATCCATCTGTTGGCCAGGTCTCAATATCAACTGCTAGACGAACGCCGCGCGGCCTACGGAGACTGCAACGCCTGGCGTCGAGGTTTTGTTTCTAAGATTTACGAGTGTGCATGCTCAAAATTACGTCACATAATTTGTATCACTAGCCGATTTAAATGTTCAAAGATAATTATTTCAAAAGCGGCATCATTTTTGTCCGCCAGTGGGCTACGGGAAAAAATTAGCCAGCGAACTAGCGTGCCGCGAATCATGGAGACTGCAACGCCTCGCATGGGGGTTTTTGTTGCTAAGATTTGCTAGCGCACATGTTAAACAACCGCGTTACATAAATTGTATCATTTATCGATTCTGACTGAATATTACATATTTCCAGACAAACATAACTTGGCCCTGTTAATACACATTGTTGACCACTCGACCTATACTCAAATTTTCATCTTTAAATTTCGACCAAACATATCCATTTACAATCTATCTTCGCGATGCACTTAATTTCTGGAGATCCCAGATAAAAATGATTGGAATTTCGCCTGCCCAGGAAAGACACTGTCGAAATGGACGAATCGTCCTGGAAAGCTGGATAGCCTTATTTGCCGAGTAACATAGATGAGTCGAGTGGGCAAGACTGCACTAATGAGAAACAGCTCTAGATGCATATCTAGCGTAGCAGCCATGACATTTGAATAAAGACCGGCAACGAGCCCCATCTCTACCCCCCCCGCCCCACCCGGTCATCAGGCTCGCTTTCCAAAAAAAAAAACAGAAAAAGTTCCTGAAGTACGCCCTGAATTTGCCTCCCCCACACTTTTTGAAAGGTTCCTACGCCTCTGGTCAAAACTATGTTATAATTTTTCACGAACCGATTCTGAAGAGAGGGTGAACATCCTAGAGTGTTTCAGGTCCAGACTTATATTGCATTCGAGAACAAATCCATAGTTGCATGAGTTTTCATTGCCTCACGTCAGTAAGCGTATGACAGGTCAGATCACACAGCGCACCACTACACCACGCCGTTCGGCGCACACTATGCAGTCGCCGATGTGCACATACTACAGCACTACAGCACTACGTGTCACCTTGACGCACACACGATATATACCGCTTCAGATGGTTTTTGAAATTCTGCGAACTTACCTCAAAAAGAGCCGATCGTACTCCTGCACTCTACCGTAGCAAAGACGGCGGCGGTCTATCTCCATACATAAACAGTCTGATGTTAATGTGTGATAAGGGCTCGTGTCTCATGCTGGTGCTATGCCGCGTTTTCGATGGCGTAAGTGATCTGCTCGGATCTGGCTCTTGTCAGGACTGCATGGACCATACACATCCCATGATACTCGACAAGGTTGTGTACGTCATGCTTGAAAACAGTACTACCTTACTGACGTGATCGTGTTTTCGCCCGCCGCTGGTCACCCAGGCACCAAGATTAAGTCCTCTTTGTATTCTTTGAAGTTGCGTAGCGTTACGCGTGCCATATAACACAACACAGCGTCGGGCTATAGAAATCCCTAAAACTCGAACAATGTTTGCAAGGATGACTTTAAGTAGGACAAGTTCAGCGTATATAAGACCAATGAGGATGTCTGTGCACTTTGATCTGATCTGGTCTCCATACGATATGAAGCTGAGCCGCGGTTGTCCATGACAGCATCTAAAAATCTAACAACTTTGGATTTAGGCATCACAATACCCAAGGACTTCAGTGAGACCGGCAGCAGGTCTCTAAG